CTAACTTCAGTAACAAAAGGAAGTTTAAATCAATAGTGCAGTCCTTTCTGCAGCTCAAGGATGGTTTTCATCAGGTATAATCTCTATGTTCTTAGATTGGTAGGTTGCTGCTAGGGTATTTTATGCTAACTGTTGATATCTGTATCAATATCCTTTTTTGTGTGTGTCTGTTCTAGCAGGTGTGGAAGTTGGGAAGCTCTTTGGTCATTGTGATACTGGTTTTAAGCTATTCAAGAATTGTCTTCTGTATTGTTTTTCCATTTGAGTTCTACAGGCTTCGGAAGCTGGTCAGAAATTAGTTAAATATTTCTGTGAGTTTCTTGTATGTATACATTTCTAGCTGTCCTCTATATTTAATCCTACAGTTCCACGATGGCGTCGGCAAGAGGATAAGCCTTGTTCCTTCTCCCACTGCACCTCTCCCAGAGGGACTGGGGTTACTGGCTCCTCTTTGGCTTCCCTCAACGAGGGAAATAGCTGTTGGCTGGGGTGAAGTTGGAAGGGTTACTGCTAGGATGTAAAGCTGGGATTCATTTATATGCCAGAGCTGGAATGTAGCTTGGCTTGGCCTCGCTTGCTTTTGGCCAACAGGTAGCTCATGAATATTGGCAGAAGGAAAATTAGTCTGAAAAAGGTGTCTGTCGTTGATAAAGCCTCACTAATAAAACCGGTTTGCTCCCAAGCGGTAAAGCTAAGCTTTTACAGTCATTTACACTCAGCATCTTTAGGCTTCTTGTCCACTTGCCTCTTCTGAACTGTACATTTGTGTAAGGTGGAGCTTTTCCAGCTTTCTGGCTCGGGGAGCCTGCTGTACGTGTTTCTCTTACTGCATATGGGCATTTTTGGCTGCCCTTTGGAGTAGCTCTTAGCTTCTCCCCCACTCCCAGTTCGAGTGCACCTGTCTCTCAAAATGCATTTTTTTTTTTCTTAATTTGGATTTAGTGGTTCTTCACTACGATACAAATTTGAACATACATAATTTGTCAATGTAAAGAGTTGCTGCACACTGGATTTCATTCCTCTGGCAGAACTGTATGTGGAAACTAATTTGTTTCTGTAGTTTTAGAGCATCAGATCATCACCTTTTTTTTCACTTTTATCTTCACGATTGGTGCATGAGATCAGACTGTGGATAAACAAGCATCCCTTCAGAAGTGCTTTAATATTATTGCCACTTGTCCTTCGTTCTGTCCTTCAGGCAAATAACTATCAATTAACACCACAAAATAAAATTGGTTGGGAACATAATAATGTACTTGAATAGCTACACCTGCTGGACCATCGGGTGTTATTTTTCTTGCATTCTGGTATATCATGAAGATTAGGAAAGACCTTGTGAAGGATATTTAGCAATAGATATTTTTTTCCCTACCTTGTTCTTTTATGCATGATAGCAATTAGCTTTAAAAATATCCCAAACTCGAACAACCCTCCCCCTCAAACACCTTTTTTCTTTTAATGTGGAAAACTCACTTTGTAACAGAACAACTCATTTATGCCTATAATGAGACACAGCTGTCAATAGAATGAAAATTTACAGTAGCAAACCCTCCTATTTTCTTGTAAGCATTTTTGAAGGTGCTTATTCTTACTGTATTTGCCATTAAGGAGTCGCTTAAGATTTGGGCTGTTCTGCTCCTTCCCCTGGCTCTATGTGATATTAAGGTGTGATCTATGGATTATTTACCCTCTCCAGAGCCCTGACCTTAAATATGTCTCTGTTCTTTTGATGCTCCTGTCCCTAGAACTGGGCAGAAGATGGGAATAGCACAGCAGGGAGTGCCGTGCTCGGAGCAGACCAAGTAAGGGAAGTGTTGGGCTCCCGAAGCCTCTTATGTAAGCAATGAAATCTGTGTAGTGTCATTTTCTGTTGGGTTTTGAACAATTATGGAAATGGCTGCCAATTGCCAAAACGCAGGGCTATTTCAGTTTCCAGACTCCTGTTGCGTTACAGGGAGCATTTTCTGTAATATTTAGGCTTTTTTTTTCTTTTCTTTTTTTTTTTTTTTAAAAAAAGTCAGCTTGGTACTGGCAGATTTCAGCTCTTTTTGCAGCTTCTGGCTAGATATCTTAATCAGAAATAGCCCTCTGGCAGATGTACCGTGGCTGGAAGCATGGCCTCAACTTACTGATGCTGTTTGATGTCTTGCCTTTGCTGTTTCTGAAGGACTGAAAATGCAAAACCTTAACCCCAGACTCTCGTGTAGAGTTTTTAATAGCACTGCCAGTCCTTTGTAATGCTAAGCTTTTATTAATTTGCATCTTTTCTGCCACTTTCATTTGTATTTGGCCTTCCAGGATTTTTCTTCTAATCTGGAATACCTTTTTAAGGAGTTTTTTTTTTTTAATTTCTTGGTGGGGTGGGCAGGGCCACTGAATCCAGGGTGTGATTTTTTTTCTTTGTCACCCTTATGGAGTTACCCAGATGAAGACAGAACATTGCCCTGAAATTTATCATAATCTGAGACATTGCTTTCCAAGAGGGATTTGAAACGGATGGAAACGAAGGATTTAAAACTTAAACCCGGAGAATATTTACTAAAGAGACCTTTTGATGCAGTCGTCCAGTTTAATCTTTTAAAATTATTTTTAGGCTTTGTGCAAAAGTTTTGTAATACTTTCAACAGCTTAGCGAATGCAGAGTCAGGTTCCAAACCGAAAGCTTTTGGCAGCTTGCTTTATTCCAATTATTGATGCTCCTTTTCAGAGGATTTACAGTACTCTTTCCTACCATTAGTGTCTTTGGTGCAGCCCCAGCAGCAGTGCAGCTATCGGTTGTTTTAAAATCCACAATTCAAGCCCTTCATCCCTGCCACAAAGAGTAGGTAAGGAGCCTTTCTTGAAGAAATGGTTGCCTAGTAGCCGGGATGGCTGGAGAAGTAGGATTTTTGCGTAGGTTTGTGGGTTGCTTGGACTTGGAGGATGCTTTTCCTTCCAGGGGAGTTCATCACTTTTGTGCATTGGTGTTGAGTGGAAACTGGGAACCTGTGGAAGTGGGATGGCTTTCTGAGGAGCCTCTCCTGAGCTACCATCATCTCTTTATTTCAGTATTATGGTGGAAGGTAGGGAAAAAGACTATTGTATAGGGGAGAGAACCACTAAGATTTGGAAAGAAGTGAGCTGCTTTAGCCTTTTGTGTCTAGTAAACCTGGTTGAGACAGGTGCTGCCCGTCTGGCTGTGTGATTTATGCCTCTCTGGGAATACAGAGCATTCCTCATCCAGCATCCCTTGATATGTGGAGAGCCCAGCAGAGCAGGTTCCTAACCCGGTCTCCTGCATTGCCCCTCCACCATGTGACAGCGGTGGGATCCTTCTTAACCTCAAGAAAAAGCAAGGGTGGTCTCAGTGTGGTTTGTAACCACTCCTCGTTAGGCTGCTTCTAGTGCAATAGCTTTTCCTCTCCCTCCCTGCAGCAATGGATTATTTGCTGTGGTATTTCTACTGAGCACAGAGCTCACCACCTTCTGTGCCGCAGTACGAGGTTTTGTCAAATTAGTTGGTAATTGAACTGATTTCTGGGGTCAATATTATTATTTTTTTTTGGCTTTGAGTGTTTGTTCTTGTAGCTGTTACTTGTAGGTCCTGCCCAAGGGCTGTGCCAGCAAAGGACAGTTTCTGCTTGTGCTTCAGAGTCTCTTGGTCTTGTTTTCTTGCCCAAACGATGCTTCAGAGATGCCTGTAGGGTGCAAACTGTTTGTGACATGGAATGTACATGTCAATGTACATGTCAATGTACAACTTTGTTTCACTGTTTAATGAGTGTGGTCAAACGATGTGGGAGGAAATGCTATTTAAGGAGTGTGCATCAGAAAAATTCTACCAGGGCTTAAAGTCCGCCTTTCCGTTCTTTAAAATCTGTTGAATCAAACCTCTGGCTGAAAATAAGCTGGGAGTTGGAGGAGAAAGGGATGAAACAGCCCGAGTTTTACTGGTCGTGTTGCTGATGAGAAGCCCTGCTGCCCAGAGAACACAGAGATACCACGGGTTTTGCTGCATAATCTGTCTGGCCAGCTGGATTTTAATCTTCTAGGGGTTTTTTTTGGAGGGTGGGGGGAGCTGGGGGGGGGAAGAGACTAGCTCTAAAGGCAACACTTGTTTTCAGTGGATACCTTTGAAAATAGGATTTGAAGGACGACTTAGTATGTCTGTGCTCTTAACACTGCTCTGAAGGTGGTAAGTATTGAAGGATTTTGTGCCATAATAAGGATATTTTGGCCTGGTGACAAATGTCAGCACGGCACCTCGTTCCAGAAGGTGAAAATCGTGGGGTCTGTCAAAGCACCTTTGATGCTTTCTGTTTACTAAAGAATACCACGTTTTTTTGGCCTCTGTGTGTATATATCAGCAAAATTCCCTTCACCTGAGAAGGTTGTGAGGTTCCTGGAGCTGCAGTGATCCAGCTACTTCAGTCAAGTAGGTCACGTGTATCTTGGGGAATTCCCTGCCTTGGAAGTTTGAAACAGATGGAAGAAGGTAGGGCAGAAGGTTAGGGTTTTACCCCTTTTTCCCCCTATAGATAAGTCATAAAAAGCAAGAAGACACTCTTCAGAGAAAAGACGTGTGGCCACGAACACTTAACACTTGCCAATTACAAGGTCCACGCAACTGAAAAAGGCTTGAAGACCCATCAGTCTGTTCTTGGAGGTGCCTCCTGGCTGCTGTGTGTTGTAGCCAGTGGCTTCCCAAGCACAGTGGCCACGGATGGATCCCTGGAGTGGCCGGGACAAGCGCTCAGTGCAGTGAAGCTGTGCCTCCCGTGAATATTCCTGGTGGGAGCACCCTGCTCTCAAACTACCAACTTCTGTCTGCCAGTGCTCCGTGTTGTGCTTTTTCTATGAAATTTGTCTTGTTGTAGATGCTGTTGTTTTATCTAACTCTTTGTTTTCTGTACCTCATTGCTTTGTTCTTTATGAGATCTTTTTTTGTTTTTCTGTTTTCCTGCCGCTCTGTCACCGCGTTTCTGCCGCCCCTCCCTCTAGCTGGGTTTGTCAAGTCGCCCATGTCAGAAACTAAGCTCACGGGGGACGCCTTTGAACTGTACTGTGATGTGGTTGGGAACCCCACTCCAGAGATCCAGTGGTGGTATGCTGAAGTCAACCGGGCTGAGTCTTTCAAACAGCTGTGGGATGGGGCTCGGAAGCGCCGTGTCACCATTAACACTGCCTACGGGGCCAATGGGGTGAGTGTGCTGAGAATAACCCGCCTTACCTTGGAAGACTCTGGGACGTACGAGTGCAGGGCCAGCAACGATCCCAGGAGGAATGACTTGAGGCAAAATCCCTCCATAACGTGGATTCGAGCCCAGGCTACTATAAGCGTCCTTCAGAGTGAGTCCGGCACCCCGCAGTAGTGGTACTGTAGTATCTAGAGGCAGTCTAGTCACCCTCACCCCCCCGTCACCCCTGTAAAAAAAACCCCTCTGCCACCTTCTCCTGGTGTTCTGAACCCCGCCTGTAGTGCTGACCTTGTCTGCCATCTCTTGTCTCTCCTTAGGAGCGAGGGAATTGGGGAAATCCGTGGATCCCTTTGGTAGCTTCTGTGTGACAGCAAGCCCCGTGTTGGATTTGTGTGTCTTCCCCACCCCCTTTAGTTTTGTAGTGAGCTTCCAGCCACCCTAACGCTGGCTTCTCCATCAGTGCCTTTATCTTTGATTTCTGTCTTCTTCCCAGGTTTAACTGTGTCATTTTAATTTCTTCTGTTTTCTCGGAATTGCTCTGAATGCCTTCTCACGTGGTTTTGGTTGCATATATGCTTCTGTATGAAATCTTACCCTTTCACTTACATGTGACCATTAGTGTTTAGATTTTTCCATGAAGTCGTGGTGTTTCTTTTCCTTTCTGGACAGCGGTGTGTTCCCACTGAGTTCTCTGATGCAGCAGCACCCAAATAGATGCAGCTACTCTTAAACCAGCCTCTGAAAGGAGGGAAGGGAGGGAATATCTGAACCCAGTGTTGAACTAAGAACTTCAGCTAAATGACTCTCATCTGAGAAGGAGACTTTTGGCAGCCAAAAAAAAAAAAAGACTTTGAAAAGCAGAAGAATATGGTTGACCCAGAATTGTTTTTTTTCTCTGTTGTTACAAGACTTTTCCTGCCTTCAGCTCATTTTTAAAGCAGTCCCAGGCGAGTTTGGAACTTTATATCATCAGAGCCAGTAGAGAAGAATCCCTTTTTGTTTCGTGTGAGATGCAAAACTCTTGGATTTGTTAACGAGGTGAATATCAAGTGTCTAATGAGCTCTAGGTAGAGTGAATTAAATCAGCAATGTGAGCCTGGCTGCGTGGAGGTCCAGGAGAACTTGCTTTCTTGGTGACTTCTCAATATCCAAAGGTGGGAAGGAGTAGAACATAGGTCTCACTATTGTGCTTTGTACAACCTTTTATGCACGGCTTTGAGTTTTGTCTGGGTACAAAAATATCAAACTCTGTAATTATGTCCCAGTTATGTTTTTGGCTACCTTCAAAAACAAACAAAAAAAAACCCCAAAGAAACCACCCAAACCAAAAGCGGTGCTGCGGTCGGCACTGCTGGATCAGAGACCTTCCCTCTGGAAAATGGAAACAGCACTGATAGATGTGGAAAAATAGACAGCGAACCCCAATGATGTGGATTGACTTGAACATTTCAGTGCCATTGGGTTGTTCAGCTCAGATCTGCTCGTTTTTCAGTCCTAGTGCCCCGTCCCTCTGTTGTCCTTTGAGGTCCCAAAGGACTCGGGCTGGTGGATTGCTTTGCATGACCTACAACAGCAAGAGCCCTGGGATTTTTAGGAAATAACACTGCCTTAAGGCAAAGCTAAAAAAAAAAAAAATATGTAGGAGAGAATGTCTCCTGGAAACCCCTGTGAAGACCTTTAGTTTTCTCTTGAGTGTGGCGAGTCCGTGGTGGTCCTGTCTCCTCTCTCTGTGTCTCCTCAGTTACAGTAACCTACTGAGGGAGAAAATCCTGTTTTCATATGAAAAGCTACCGTTTTGGGAACGAATCGCTCTGAAGATGTCTCCATATGGAAAGTGGGTTTTTCCTCTCTCAGGCCATTGATACTAACACTAACCTGCTCTGGGCATTAAAGTTTAACCTTCTGTCTTCCTCCTCAGTTAACATGGTCTTGTTGCATCTGATGCTACTAATTCTGGAGTGTGTATCATGACTTAATACTAAGTGCCTTGTTCCCGGGGGTAATTCTACTGCTTTTGTGTTTTATTTATGGGAGGGGGAAACGTTAAACAGAGTACTTTAATGCTTTTATTCTGTAATATTGTGTGTGTTAAGGGATACCACTGGCTGCTTGTTGGGAAACAGAGTGCTTTGGACATCAAACTCCTGCCTGACCATGCTGGAAATGGAGATGGGGGGTGGGGGAAGTGGGTTTCTGAGCTTCCCAGGAAGGTGGAGACCATCTTAAGCTGCCCAAAATGTCTCACCGTGAACGCAATTTGTCTTAGGAAGGGGAATTTTCTGACTAAACAGTGTTAGAGTTTCCAGCTGACGGTGGCCATTTTGCTGCTGGCCCTAATGGGACACAAACGTCACTGAAACAGAACATCTAATGGATCAGAAGAGCAACCTCTGTTTGCTGGCCTTGAAATCACAGCTTGGCTCAAATACCAAAACTTGAATGCAAAGAGGTCAAGCGCGACGTGATTTTTAAGTTAGCACCCAAGAACTAACATCTGGCTTCTATCTCCTTCCTAATTTGGATAAAGAACTTTGATTATGGCTGTATTTTTTTTTATTTAAAAAACTGATCCTACATAAAAGGGGCAGTTTGTGTAGAAAGATGACTCTTCATCATCTACACATCATTTTGATGTGTAGAAAGAGACTCTCCATCATCTTGCTCTTTAAAGCAGACGTCCTTCTGGATGTTGCTGCCCCAGTCGTATTCAACTTGCACTTTATTTTCCAGAATTAAATCAGGCTAGTAGTGCCCGTTGCTTTTTATTTTTAAAGAAACAAATTAAAGTAACAACATAAACACAGGTAAAAGATGTAAATGAGACTGCAGTTGCCTTTAAATTTATTTTTTTTTAACTTAAAAAGTTGCAACTCGGACACAAAAGGCCCCAGCAAGCTCCAGCAAAGCCAGCTTGTAAATATTTTATAAATAAAGCAAGTTTGTAAAGAAAAGTAAGTATTTTCTGGTTGTGGGAGCTTAGCAGGGTTGTAGGTAAGAATAGGTGGGGATTAGGAGAAGTCATCGGGGCTCTGGGGGGGTTTCACCCGTACGTTCCACTTCCTCAGCGTTAGAGGCTGAAGAGTCCATTATCACCAGCAGAGGAAGGCCAGAAGATTACCACTGTTGAACCCTTCTGCATTAAGTCTTTAACTTTCTGATTTCTGTAGGGATTAAATTCAGATTATTTATATTTTTTTGGTGACTTTTGCCTGTTGCTGGCGTTTGTGTATGCTTTCCGGTTCCGGGATGGCCACGGGCTGGTGACACCGCTCTGGGTTTGTGTCTCAGCCAGCGTGTGTCATCAGATGTGTCTCATCTGCTCTCACAGCATCCTGGGCTCCTTGCAGCCACCTTTCAGCCTCTCTCCTGCCAGCCTCCTCCTCCTCCTCTTCCTCCTCCAAAAAGCAACAACTCCACGTTTATTCCGCAAGCTACAAGCCTTGAAGACGCTGCTTTCATCATCAAAGGAAAACATTTTCAAGCAAAACCTCAGTGAATTCTAGCAAAAGTTATTTCTTTAGATAAGTGTTGGGACACTGAATTACTATTTCAAACACGTTACTAAAAATAGTTTCATGTCTGTTAGGTTTTTTTGGAGAATACACACAAGCTCTTTTTGGGGGGATGGAGGAGCTTTTGGGGCAGCCCAGCAATGCCCAGTATGGCTATAACAAAACCATTTTAGACCCCCTGGCACCCCAGCAGATCGTTGCATGGGTCAGACTGCTGGGAACGACGAGGCAGAAACACAGTTGAAAATGCATTATAATGGCAAAGTGGCTACAAGAAGTGTCAAAACCCCTCCATTACTACTGTACCTGCCAGTTTTGCCGCAGTTAAAGGACAGTCCTAATTTTAAGTAGCTGTGAAAAGAGGCTGTATGGGCCCCCCTGAAAGGGGGAAAGAATATACAGGACTCAAATGACTTTGGCAGGTTATTAGTAGGTAAAGATTTATTTTTTTTTTCTCTCCCTGCCTCTCTGGGCAATAATCTGAAGTGCTGTACTATTGGAGAGATGAATGTTTTATGTGATGAAAAACGCAACGTTTCTTTGACGGTGCTGGTATTTTCCACTTCCCCTCAGTTCTATTTAATAATTTGTTTTCCGAGCACTTTTGCAGATGAATAACCAGAAGACCGCGTGGGTATGACTCAATTTGTATTCCAAATATGTCACCACAAGGCGTAACAGAAATTTATGGGATTCAAAACCCTTTTGCTGACTTGCAAAACCCGGGAGGATGCTGATGGCTGAGCGCCTTCCTCGCCCTCCTGCGCGGTGCCGGGAGAGGCTGGGGCTGCTGCCAACAGCCACCTCTTTGGGAGTCACCTCACCCTTTAAAGTAAGAAATACATCAAAGGCAGAGGACACAGCAGCATTTCCATGGCAGGGACTGCTACAGCAGTGGCCTTTAGGTCAAGCTAACACTAAATCTAGATCTTTTTAGAAGAGTAATAGCAAGAATTCTTAAATTGCCTTTAAGCTCTGTCATCCTGTGTTACAGAATGCTTGAAACCAGCTGTGAGCCATCAGTAGAAAGGTGGGGTTTTTTTTTTCCCCAAGTTTGGGAAGAAACTTGCCTTTGATTATTCTAAAAATGAATGAGCCTTATTTGTTCAAGAGCAATAACCATCTGCACAATCTTAAGAAAATGGGATTATCAAATGTCAGGACAGCGCCTTCATACTAATCTTTGCGCTTCTGAAAGGCTTTCCCCTAAAAAAAAAATATGTGAATTTGATGTTACCAGGTAAGACTGTAGCGTGCAACAGCCTGGGTTCAGCTCCTGACGCAGCCAGCACAGCGTGGAACTCTCACTGGCTGTTTATGCAATGAGGCTCACGTTTATTTTCCTTCATAAATGTTTATGCTCAAGGTTACTTTAGAAACCAAATAGTTCCCCGCTCTAATTTTAACACGGTGTATGTTCTTACTCTTTATTGTTAAGCTTTAAGGGCTGCTTGCAGCCGTTCCTCAGCAGATTCGTGCCTTATTCATTCTGGTTGTTTGCTTGGATTTCAGGCGCCATCAAAGTTGTGCTCTTCAAAACACCTTGTGTGCCCAGGAGAGATATATATATATATGTTTCTTAGGTAGATGTTAACCTTTTTGCAGGGGGAAGGCCAGAAATACCATTCAGAAGACTGTCTAGCTTTGAGGGCTATTCTGTCTAGAAAATGGGTTTGTTTTAAACCTCAAAGTAAGGAGAGGAACCAAGCAATAACCAGAAAGAAGTTGCTTCCAAAGGACAAGCTGATTCCTTACCTACAGTCACAGGATGTGTGTTTTCACATGTTAGGATCAGGAGTGTGTAAAAATAAAATAAAAAAAAAGAGAAAGACTGATGGTGTTCCATAGAAATTTGTAGTGATGTTCACTGTTAAAATAAACAATACAAATAAAGAATTATCTTTTTTTTTCCTTATAGGGGTGCTCTAAGGTGTCGCCTTCGCTATAGCGGCCAGCTTGTTTTATTGTGATTTTTCTTGATGTCTCCCAAACTAGTGCAGTGACATTCCTTGTGTAGTCTTTTCCCCTTCCCGATTCCCCTGTGGATTTTTAGACCTAGCGAGGTTGCCCCGATGGCTGGTGGAGCTGTGTTGCTATTTCCTGTGTCCTTTGTTTCAGAGCCCCGCATCAACGCCAGCGAGGATGTGACCATCCAGGCGTACGGGCCGGCTGTCACCCTGCAGTGTAACCTCACCACCAGCCCCAGCCCCCTCTCCGCCAGTTACTGGGTGAAAAACGGAGAGGAGATCCCCGGCACCAGAAAACCTTCAAACACTACAGAATACAAGTAAGTCTCTTCGCAAGAACGCCCGTGTTATACTGGGGAACCACAAACCCCGGTAGACGTAGGGATTTGGGAGTTGTTGGGACTCCAAAGTCCATGGTTCACCTTCACGGTGGGACAGACAAATTGGTTTGATCTGCATTAGAGGCTCCACAAAAAAATACGCCTGTGAAGAGCATCGAGTTGACAAAGGGCTGAATATGAGCCGGCCGTGTGCCCAGGTGGCCAAGAAAGCCAATGGCATTCGGGCTTGTATCAAAAATAGTGTGACCAGCAGAAGTAGGGAGGTGATTGTGCCCCTGTACTCAGCACTGGGGAGGCCACACCTCGAGTGTTGTGTCCAGTTTTGGGCACCTCAATCCAAGAGAGATCTGGAGGTGCTGGAGCGAGTGCAGAGGAGGGCAACGGAGCTGGTGAGGGGGCTGGAAAACAAATCGTATGAGGAGCGGCTGAGGGAGTTGGGGCTGTTTAGTGTGAGGAAGAGGAGGCTGAGGGGAGCCCTCATCACTCTCTACAACTACTTGAAAGGACCCTGTAGAGAGGTTGGTGCTGGTCTCTTCTCACAGGTAATTAGTGACAGAACGAGAGGGAATGGCTTCAAGCTCCAACAGGGGAGGTTTAGATTGAACATTAGGAAAGAATTTTTCACCCAAAGAGTGGTCGGGCATTGGAACAGGCTGCCCAGGGAGGGGGGGGAGTCCCCATCCCTGGCTGTGTTTAAGGGCTGTTTAGATGCAGTGCTGAGGGACATGGTGTAGGGGAGGACTTTGTAGAGTAGGGGAGATGGTTGGACTCGATGATCCCAAGGGTCTCTTCCAACCTAGGCCATTCTATGATTCTATTCAGGAAAGATTGCTCTCTACAGCTGCCCCAGCTACCTTGTGTAAGCATAACGTCAACAAAAACACACTGTAAACTTCTCTTTTCAATCTGAACTCATTTAATTCTTCTCTGGAGTGCTCATGATGTGTGGACGCAGACACACACAGTCTAGTTTTCTTTTCCTCTGAGTATATCGTGCACTCTCTGTCTCTCTTATCTCCGCATAAAGACAGAGCTGCAGCTGTGCATTTTTACCGTGCAGGGAAAGGCAGCACACAAATCAGTGCTGAAATCAGCTGGTTTAGTCATTTTCTGGCCTTGGGAGATGGAAGATGGCGTTGTCTGAGCTGTTACTGATGAGTCATCAGAGCACTACTATGAAATGAGACCAAATCTTGATGAAACCACTACAGCTGTATCACTCCTGCTTCTTATTTGTCAGCATGTCCCCATTTGCAGCATCAATCTGTTCCGTGTGTGCGTGCTCTGGCTGCGTTTCTGCCTCCTGCCCAAGGCTGGGAGGGAGAACAGAACCTGTCCAGCCACCTCTGCCCTTCCACCGCAGCTGGCATTGCACAGAAACCCTCTGAGGGTTCCTGAAATAGGGCTTTCCTGCCACGGAGTTTATGAGAGCATGTCATAGAATCATAGAGTCATGGAAGGGATCTCAAAGCCCCACCATTGCAACTCCCTGCCCTGGGCAGGTTGAGAGACCTCAACCTCCCACCAGACCAGGTTGCTCCAAGCCCCCTCCAACCTGGCCTTGAACCCCTCCAGGGATGGGGCAGCCACAGCTTCTCTGGGCAACCAGTTCTAGGCTCTCACCACCCTACACCAAACAAGTTCTTCCCCACATCTCATCTCCATCTCCCCTCTTTCAGTGTCAAACCCTTCCCCCTCCTCCTAGGGCTCCCCTCCCTGATCCAGAGTCCCTCCCCATCTCTCCTGGAGCCCCTTGAGGGACTGGAAGGGGCTCTGAGGTCTCCCCGGAGCCTTCTCTTCTCCAGGCTGAACCCCCCCAACTCTCTCAGCCTGTCCTCCCAGCAGAGGGGCTCCAGCCCTCCCAGCATCTCCGTGGCCTCCTCTGGCCCAGCTCCAACAGCTCCATGAATCCTGCTCAGTGATGCCATCCAAGAGTGTTTTGTGTCATTTCCTTGCATATTTTTTTCCTTCCATTTTCTTCACTTGATGCCAGCGTGGGTAGCAAATACAACTTCCCGTTTGATGTTCTGCTGAGGTGAGGAACTCTTAAGGTGTGTTTTAGACACTGGTGGTAACTTTGGAGACATCAGACCACTTCTGACCCTCTGTTTGGCTGTTAGAGCAGAAGGAGGTGCATATGTCTTGTCAGGGCTTGCCATATTACAGTATATCTGGTTTGCTGTACGTGTCTGCACACCAAAGCAAGGGAACACACCTGCACCCTCAACTGGCTTCTCTGTCTCCAGCTGAGTCCCGTGGGCTCTTTCTAACAGTAATGGCACTTACTGGCAAGGGATTAACAAATACTCAAGGTTCTCCTTGCCTAAGAAAGCATTCTTTCATCCGTGGGACTGTGGAAGTTGTGTTTGATTCTGATAAAGCGTTCCAAATTTTTCCTTTTGTTTTCCACTTCAGCTCACTTTGCCTTATCTGTTCAGTTTTCCAGTTTAAAAAAAAAAATAATTAAAAAATAGCCTTAGTTCTGTGATTGCATCCTGTTATTTTCTCAGAATTGTTTAATGCCGGTTCTGAGTTTTAAAGGCTGTGCTTTTTTTAATCTAGCAATTAACTTGATGTGTAGTCTTGTCCCGAAAGCATACTGTTGCATCAAGATTACTAAGAAAAAATCACACATTATTATTCGGGACACTAAGTATTGAGGCTGACTTCTCTAGGGAGAATCTTTCTTTTCAAATTCCTCTGTAAAAGAAGAATTAAACTTAACTTCGATTTTTAACAGGCTTCGTTCCCCATGAGGGTGGGCAGAACACACTGCAGTCACAGCATGGCTAGAGAATTTAGGAAAAGTTGGCCCTTCCAACATATACCTCAAATTCTTGCTCATTTAGAAGCTGCTTTGCTGAATATTGTGCTTTCAGGCTTCCTGTGGCACTTCTTTGTGGCATGTGGTCACGCTGCGTTGGATCTCTTTGTTAACTTCTGGTTTGATTTGGTCACTTATTTTATTTTTGGATCCAGAAATACCAAATTCACACAAGCAATGTCAATGCAGTTGTAGTTGAAAGGTTATTTAACTTCAGCATTTTTTTACGTTCTACTTTTTTCCTTAAACAAAAAAACCCCACATTCTTGGTGTTTCAATCATAAAGATGCATTTTGCTATGAAATGTAGCAAGTTCATTGAAGTTCAGTGGTGGTTACTATTCAGAAAGCATCAGAATTTGTAAGTTTAACCATGTACCTTAAAAATCCTGCTTCATACAACATCAGAAATTATGCACATCATTCCTAATTCTTTATTCAAACTTGATTTAGTTGCTTTTTCCGGAAGGCAGCTATACTCAGAAAACTGAGAGTTAAGTATAGCTTTTGAGTTCACCATTTTTAATTAAAAATGGGCAAGAATTACTTGCAGTGTCTTCTTTTACGGGCAGGAAGTGCCTGGAAGTGGTTCTGACCATCCCATGTTTTCATTCTGGAGACCTGTCCCCTACTCCAGAGTTTGGAGGAGAAAAGGAGTGATTTCTTTCCAAATTCTTCATCAGTTAATTCAGAGCCAAGTAGCAGGTTATTGAGCTCCACTGAAGAAAATGGCTTTTTGGGGTGTTTGTTGTGGTCTATTGCCATCCAGCTGAAAACCAGGAGGGTGTTTTTCCATCTGCTGAGGAATCTGTTTCTAGGAAAAGCTGGGCTCTTCCTAAAGCCGCAGGGCTGGGGGAAGTTGTTGGCCAAGAAAACTCGTTTCAGGTGCTTGTTTGTTAAACTTGGCAGCCCTATCCACTTAGTCTTGCTTTAATGAGGCTGCTGTAGTTTCACACTTTAAAAAGAAGCTTATTGTAGAACTGAAAGAATATGAAGTCTCCCTCCCCCCACCTTAAGCACTGACTAAAAAGCAGTGTTCAGAGTATGATTATTTAATTATTAAGGTCCTAAACAGGACCTTAATTCTCTGCTTTCCCTGACTGTTGCAGATTCTCAGGATTGCTTAGTAATGGAAATTAATGGGGTGGGGTTGTCCCGTAGGCGAGAGGCGCGTGTTCCAACGTTGCCCAATTCCTGAGAGTTCCCAACCTGCCTGTGCTTTCAGTCATCATTATTGCTTTGATGTTGGAGACTGAATGATCATTCGTTCTGTCATTAAGATAACCTTCAGTTTTGACTCTGAAAACTGCGTATGTTATTGCTTACCTGAAAGAATTAGTAGCTTGATAACTAACTTTAGACTTTCACCGGTGCCTCTGGAAAGTGCGTGCTGTAAACACAGCGAAGACCTGAGTCCAAGTGTTGTGTTCAGCTGAGCAGCTTTTTCCATGTGTCTTAGCAGTTTCCATGTGTAATTGGATTATTTTATTGCAGGGTTTCTGTTCAGCCGGGTGCTATTTCCTTAATGTGTTTTTTTAAAAAATATAATACTCAAAAAAGAAAGCCAAGAAGCCTTTCAGTAAACGGAGGGAGGGATGGGGAGAATTCTACTTTATTCTGTGTCATATTGTTGTGATGCTGCTCTACTCCAAGAGGTCTTTTGTAGGTAGATACCTGCAGAACATACGTGTGGAGCTTTTAAGTCATTTGTATCCAAAAGTTTTTTGAAGGATGGCAAAAGCTGGTGGACTGGAAGTCAGCACCATCTCAAGTGTAAATTCATCTTGAGGCTTTTAATATTTTTTTTTTGCATTTGTTGCCACTCTTGCTTTTTATCTGGCTGCCTTGCATTTGTTTTTCTCTCTGCTAGTAGTTACTGCATTGAGCTTTTCCCAATTTTGAAGTGGCAGCAGATTCCTGTGTGGTGTCTTCATGGGTTGACCAGCTTTTGCCGTTTTTCCATCAGAGAACACTGTTAATGGACTGATCTCATACCTGCTCTGGGGAAAAAAGAAAACACTTTCTAATTGGCCACATATGACTTTTTTTTCAATGCAGATAGTCCATAGAAATCAGGTTTCTCCCTCAATGGAAGGTCATATCTGATTAATAGGCTGGTGACTTGCACCCAACTGCCTGTAGTGCGTAATTAATAGGTGTCAGGCTCCATATTTGCTTTTAAACTTAAATGCAGCTTCACCACCTAAATTGGTACTGACTTTCCAAACTGGAGCTCACCTTTTTCTCAAGGTAAACAACATCCCCTATTTCAAGTAGGTACCTCTGCACGACATACCTGGAATGAACAAGTAATGGCTGTGAAATTCAGTTAAAAGATTAAAGTCTTGAGGGGGGTGGGGGGAAATGAATTCCTAACCTGCTGAGTTTTGGTTGGTAACACAGTTTTTAACACGGCTCATGTGTTCTCTCCCTGTCTGCAGGATTTTGAAGCCCAGAGCAGAAGAGTCAGGGGAATACTTGTGCGTGTTTGTGTTTTCAAACTCTCCTATAGCCAACGCCACTATAGAAGTGAGAGGTACTCTTTTTTTTTTTTTTTTTTTTTTATATCTGGTTTGCTGTACGTGTCTGCACACCAAAGCAAGGGAACACACCTGCACCCTCAACTGGCTTCTCTGTCTCCAGCTGAGTCCCGTGGGCTCTTTCTAACAGTAATGGCACTTACTGGCAAGGGATTAACAAATACTCAAGGTTCTCCTTGCCTAAGAAAGCATTCTTTCATCCGTGGGACTGTGGAAGTTGTGTTTGATTCTGATAAAGCGTTCCAAATTTTTCCTTTTGTTTTCCACTTCAGCTCACTTTGCCTTATCTGTTCAGTTTTCCAGTTTAAAAAAAAAATAATTAAAAAATAGCCTTAGTTCTGTGATTGCATCCTGTTATTTTCTCAGAATTGTTTAATGCCGGTTCTGAGTTTTAAAGGCTGTGCTTTTTTTAATCTAGCAATTAACTTGATGTGTAGTCTTGTCCCGAAAGCATACTGTTGCATCAAGATTACTAAGAAAAAATCACACATTATTATTCGGGACACTAAGTATTGAGGCTGACTTCTCTAGGGAGAATCTTTCTTTTCAAATTCCTCTGTAAAAGAAGAATTAAACTTAACTTCGATTTTTAACAGGCTTCGTTCCCCATGAGGGTCAGTAGAACACACTGCAATCACAGCACAGCTAGAGAATTTAGGAAAAGTTGGCACTTCCAACATACACCTCAAATTCCTACTCGTTTAGAAGCTGCTTTGCTGAATATTGTGCTTTCAGGCTTCCTGTGGCACTTCTTTGTGGCATGTGGTCACGCTGCGTTGGATCTCTTTGTTAACTTCTGGTTTGATTTGGTCACTTATTTTATTTTTGGATCCAGAAATACCAAATTCACACAAGTAATGTCAACGCAGTTGTAGTTGAAAGGTTATTTAACTTCAGCATTTTTTTACATTCTACATTTTTTGAAACAAAAAAAAAATATCACATTCTTGGTGTTTCAATCGTAAAGATGCATTTTGCTATGAAATGTAGCAAGTTCTACTTTTTTCCTTAAACAAAAAAACCCCACATTCTTGGTGTTTCAATCATAAAGATGCATTTTGCTATGAAATGTAGCAAGTTCATTGAAGTTCAGTGGTGGTTACTATTCAGAAAACATCAGAATTGGTAAGTTTAACCATGTACCTTAAAAATCCTGCTTCATACAACATCAGAAATTGTGCACATCATTCCTAACTCTTTATTCAAACTTGATGTAGTTGCTTTTTCCGGAAGGCAGCTATACTCAGAAAACTGAGAGTTAAGTATAGCTTTTGAGTTCACCATTTTTAATTAAAAATGGGCAAGAATTACTTGCAGTGTCTTCTTTTACGGGCAGGAAGTGCCTGGAAGTGGTTCTGACCATCCCATGTTTTCATTCTGGAGACCTGTCCCCTACTCCAGAGTTTGGAGGAGAAAAGTAGTGATTTCTTTCCAAATTCTTCATCAGTTAATTCAGAGCCAAGTAGCAGGTTATTGAGCTCCACTGAAGAAAATGGCTTTTTGGGGTGTTTGTTGTGGTCTATTGCCATCCAGCTGAAAACCAGGAGGGTGTTTTTCCATCTGCTGAGGAATCTGTTTCTAGGAAAAGCTGGGCTCTTCCTAAAGCCGCAGGGCTGGGGGAAGTTGTTGGCCAAGAAAACTCGTTTCAGGTGCTTGTTTGTTAAACTTGGCAGCCCTATCCACTTAGTCTTGCTTTAATGAGGCTGCAGTAGTTTCACACTTTAAAAAGAAGCTTATTGTAGAACTGAAAGAATATTGAAGTCTCCCTCCCCCCCACCTTAAGCACTGACTAGAGTGACTAAAAAGCAGCGTTCAGAGTATGATTATTTAATGATTAAGGTCCAGGACCTTAATCCTCTGCTTTCCCTGACTGTTGCAGATTCTCAGGATTGCTTTAGGAATGGAAATTAATGGGGTGGGGTTGTCCCGTAGGCGAGAAGCGCGTGTTCCAACGTTGCCCAATTCCTGAGAGTTCCCAACCTGCCTGTGCTTTCAGTCATCATTATTGCTTTGATGTTGGAGACTGAATGATCATTCGTTCTGTCATTAAGATAACCTTCAGTTTTGACTCTGAAAACTGCGTATGTTATTGCTTACCTGAAAGAATTAGTAGCTTGATAACTAACTTTAGACTTTCACCGGTGCCTCTGGAAAGTGCGTGCTGTAAACACAGCGAAGACCTGAGTCCAAGTGTTGTGTTCAGCTGAGCAGCTTTTTCCATGTGTCTTAGCAGTTTCCATGTGTAATTGGATTATTTTATTGCAGGGTTTCTGTTCAGCCGGGTGCTATTTCCTTAATGTGTTTTTTTAAAAAATATAATACTCAAAAAAGAAAGCCAAGAAGCCTTTCAGTAAACGGAGGGAGGGATGGGGAGAATTCTACTTTATTCTGTGTCATATTGTTGTGATGCTGCTCTACTCCAAGAGGTCTTTTGTAGGTAGATACCTGCAGAACATACGTGTGGAGCTTTTAAGTCATTTGTATCCAAAAGCTTTTTGAAGGATGGCAAAAGCTGGTGGACACCCATCATCAGTCAGCACCATCTCAAGTGTAAATTCATCTTGAGGGTTTTAATATTTTTTCTGCATTTGTTGCCACTCTTGCTTTTTATCTGGCTGCCTTGCATTTGTTTTTCTCTCTGCTAGTAGTTATTGCATTGAGCTTTTCCCAATTTTGAAGTGGAAGCAGATTCCTGTGTGGTGTTTTCATGGGTTGACCAGCTTTTGCCATTTTTCCATCAGAGAACACTGTTAATGGACTGATCTCATACCTGCTCTGGGGAAAAAAGAAAACACTTTCTAATTGGCCACATATGACTTTTTTTTCAATGCAGATAGTCCATAGAAATCAGGTTTCTCCCTCAATGGAAGGTCATATCTGATTAATAGGCTGGTGACTTGCACCCAACTGCCTGTAGTGCGTAATTAATAGGTGTCAGGCTCCATATTTGCTTTTAAACTTAAATGCAGCTTCACCACCTAAATTGGTACTGACTTTCCAAACTGGAGCTCACCTTTTTCTCAAGGTAAACAACATCCCCTATTTCAAGTAGGTACCTCTGCACGACATACCTGGAATGAACAAGTAATGGCTGTGAAATTCAGTTAAAAGATTAAAGTCTTGAGGGGGGTGGGGGGAAATGAATTCCTAACCTGCTGAGTTTTGGTTGGTAACACAGTTTTTAACACGGCTCATGTGTTCTCTCCCTGTCTGCAGGATTTTGAAGCCCAGAGCAGAAGAGTCAGGGGAATACTTGTGCGTGTTTGTGTTTTCAAACTCTCCTATAGCCAACGCCACTATAGAAGTGAGAGGTACTCTTTTTTTTTTTTTTTTTTTTTCCTGTGTGGTGTTCTTTTTGTTTGATTTCCTCTTCTTGAAAGCGAAGTGATTTCACTGCCTCTGCCACATCGCTCAGAGTCCAGACAAGAGGGGTAACTCCAGGGGTCTTTCCTTGTGAAATCAAGCCTGGGTCCAACTCTTGGTTATAATTTCTGGGGAAATCTTGCACGTAGGCCTAGGGGAGATACCTTGCAGATATGGGAATATGCCCATTGCACGTGTGGGCTGCACAGAGGGTACTCAAACACATTCTAGCACACGCTCATGTGTTCACAGAATGACAGAAGGATATGAGGTTGGAAGGGACCTCTGGAGATCATCTAGTCCAACCCCCTGCCAAAGCCGGTCCCCCCAGAGCAGGTCCCACAGGAACGTGTCCAGGTGGGTTTGGAATGTCTCCAGAGAAGGAGACTCCACCACCTCCCTGGGCAGCCTCTGCCAGGGCTCTGCCACCCTCAAAGTAAAGAGGTTCCTCCTCACGTTTCGATGCACATTCTGATGTTCAAGTTTGTGCCCGTTTCCTCTTGTCCTGTCCCTGGGCACCACTGAAAAAAGCCTGGCCCCATCCTCCTGACACCCTCCCTTTAAGTATCTATAGGTGTTGAACAGAGCCCCCTCGGTCTTCTCTTCTCCAGACTAAAAAGCCCCAAGTCCCTCAGCCTTTCCTCATCAGAGAGATGCTCCAGGCCCCTCATCATCTTTGTAGCCTCTGCTGTCCCCTCTCCAGCAGTTCCCTGTCCTTCTGGAGCTGGGGAGCCCAGGATCCTTTGGTAAAGCTGGCTGTCCCAGGAGAGCAGGCCTGTCCAGCAGGATAAAGGTTGCTGTAGAATATGTCCATGCTCATGCAAAGATAACTCTGGTTTCCTCTGGGTTTCCCAGTAAATGAGGCCATCTGGATGTATTCAGTGCACTTGGAATTTGTCTGTTCTGAATATGGGGGGATAAAAAAAAAGAAAGAACCAGCCTCTCATTTGTGGCAGCTTCAAACTGGTGCACCAGTAGGTTTTTTGTCTGCAGAGACAATTTCAGCTGCTGGGATGGCCTGCGTTCTGGTTTAGACACATGCCCTCTACCAGATTGAGGTTTTCTACTTTCGTGCATCTTTTTTTTCCCCTGGTATTTTTGCATGTTGGTGCCCTTCTGACATCTTTGAGACCCTAAAATTGTGGCTAGAAAATGCCAAATGTGCAAGTAGCCTGAAAGAGAATGCTGCACAGCAGCGAACGTGCTGTTGGCACTGAATTTTCTTGTGCTTCTTGAACACAAGAACCACTGCTTTAGAGGTACCCAGAGCTGATGGTGTTCTCCAAAACATTCAGCTGCTGCCAAAATACAGTTTGTTGTTTGCTAAGTGACTGGAAATGGACTGCTCTGCAGTAGCCATGGTTTGCCCCTCGTGCTGCAATAAGATGGAAGTGAGTCGGGGCAGCTTCATTAGTCAAAGATAGATGAAATTGTATCAAAAAAGGGTTCCTGAATCCCAAGGGGCCAAGTGGAAGTAAAATGGACAAATTCCCAGTATGGTTCCAAATGCCACCTTTCCTCTCCATCATCAGAACCATACAAAGAGTTTCCCAGGGAAGAGAGATATCGCCATATAAATAAGCGTTCTGGCTGATAGGGTACCAAGAAAAGCTGGCTGATTTCCTCTCTTGAT